GCTTCAGATCTGAAGCTCTGTTTGCAGATATGGTAGGTGATTTCCTGGGAAATATTCCTTGAAATTTGAGTGAGTCCTACAGCCATTCTCAGTCTGTGGTAATAAGTAGTCAAACCATGCGCTGATGACGTAACTTCCTGCCTTTGTGTCAGTTAATGGCTTTCAGTGTGATTCTTTGTGCCAGGATGACTTGAACTAATTAAAGTTCTGCTTGGTACCTTTAGAGAGAAATTGGGTGAGGGAAAAGTAGAAACCAAGAGCAAATAGAGCGGCTTCCTAAGCTGGTGTGTTGTGGGCTGTGTCAATGTTGTGTTGTTGTGTTGAAACCTGCTCCCTTGGCCATGGCAGAGCTGTGGGGCAGCTCCTGCCAGCCGTGGGGTGTGCCTCCTGCATCCTGCCCCTCTGGTTCTGCTCCAGCTGCCTGGAGCTGGCAGGAGCTTCCCATCGGATCCTTCTTGACAAATCCAGGTCTTATTCAAAAGCTTGGATGGAAACTGTATTTTGGTTTAGATGAGATTAGAATTTTTGGTTTAAAAAAAGGATGGAAGAGGAGTGCTTGCCTTAATAATGCTCTGGGACTAACCTGGTGCATCTTGCATGCAGCAGGACTTAAGGGACCGGGCTTTTAACTTAAGCACTGCCTTAGACCTGGTTTGTTCCTCACCATCCTGTTTCTTAGGGTAATGCTCCAACATGCAGATTACTGGATAAAGTGGGGAGAGAAGAAGAGTAACGAAGACAGGATGGTGTACATCTGTCAGTGCCGTCCAGAAGAGTTGTGTAGTATCCAATGTAGCAGGGATTTGAGGAGTGAACTCCTGCCCCAAGCTGAGTGATCAACCTCTCTCTCTAGCCTAGTGCCTGCCCAGCTTCAAGCAGAATGGAGCAGTCCCAGCAGCACCTGGCAAAACAAACTGACAATCTGGGCACCTTCTTTTGCTGCGGAAGGATTAGTTTCCTGCTACCCACCTGAACAAAGCAGAGCCGTGGCTTGAACCTCAGCCTCTTACAGCTCAGTGAAGTCCCATAGCCACGGAGCTGTGGCTTGTCTGGGGAGGGCAGACCTAGAATATGAGTTTGTCCAGGTGCCAGACCAGAAAAACTCTGTGATTGTAGTAATGTGCAGAGCAGAAAAATTTTACTCCCCATATGGTCTTTAGGCTGCAGGTACAAGTGGGCTGTGTCCCTTCAGAGGGTTCCCAGATAATTAAAGGTCATGGTTCATCTTTATTTGTTGTTTTCCTCTCTTGATTAATCTTTTTTCCCTATTCTTCACAGATTTACATGAGCCCTGAAGTTATCCTCTGCAGAGGCCACACAACAAAAGCAGACATATACAGCATGGGAGCCACTATTATTCATATGCAAACTGGCATCCCGCCTTGGGTGAACCGATATCCTCGTTCTGCATATCCGTCCTACCTCTATATTGTACGTGTCCTTAGGAGAGCCATAGCTCAGTTTCAGTTGAAGGGTTTCCTGTACTCTTGTTAGGAGAGCTCCAGTCATATAAAAACTATCAAAATATTTGTCAGAGAGATGATATCATCCTTTTTGCTTCGGGGGAGGGAGGGAAGAAGTGGGTTTTGAACATTTAGGGGAAGACAAAGGCTGAGCTGGAGTAATCTCAGATGTTTGTGTTACAATTTACAGGCCTTGGGTTTACTGCAAGGTCAGGGTTTGAACAGCATGAAATCTGATTGAAGCAAGCCCATCTGTGTTCCACTTGTCTGTTTTAATCAGAAATTGCAGACAAAAACTGGAGCCTGGCAAATTTGGTTCTCTGGTAATTCTAGCATGGTACAGAAATCTGGTGATTTGGTTTTGTACCAGATTGTAGGCTTGCTTGGAGTTGCTTTGAAGTTTTAAATTTTATGATAAAATCTGATTTTAAAAAAGGTGGAGTTTGTGCAGTTGCATGTTTTGTTCTAATTGATTAGCCCAGCCTGGGGAGGTGATGGGTTGTGTGTGGGGAATTCCCAGACCACTCGTGGTTATCGGCGACTTCCTCTTCCACTGTTTTTGGAATAACTGTTTCAATGGTCTTTTTTTTTATTCCATCAGATACACAAGCAAGCTCCCCCCTTGGAGGACATTGCTGAAGACTGCAGCACTTCCATGAGAGAGTTGCTAGAAGCAGCTCTAGAAAGGAATCCTAATCACAGGCTGTCTGCAGCAGACTTACTGAAACACGAAGCCTTGCACCCACCCCCAGAAGAGCAACCGCGGTGTCAGAGCCTGGATTCGGCGCTGTTTGAAAGGAAAAGACTGCTCGCAAGGAAGGAGCTGCAGTTGCCAGAAAACATTACAGGTAGTGATATCAGGCTTACTTGTCTTGCATTTTGTAGATTTATCGGAACTTGATGTGAGCAAGTGTTTAGGAACAAACAAAACTCAAAAAGCTTCTGGAAAGAGACCTTTAAAAGTCCCAGTCAGATGAGATCAGACCCAGAGCTCATATAATATTGTGTAAAACGCCCATTGACTTCAACAGGGGAAGATCTCAGCCTGAATTTTGCAGCTCCGAAAGAGCTGGCTTGTGAAAAAGCCCTGGCAGTGTTTCAGGGCATGGAAGTATCGGCCGCTGTCCCAAATTGCCTTAATTTAGCATAGCAGTAGAGATGTTTTATTGATACTAGCAAAGTGTTTGTTACAAAAACAAAAGTCACAAGCACCACCGAAACCAACACTTTTGCATCCTCAAAGACACACACAAAACCATAACTGTAGTGTTGCTAAGTATCAGCAGAACAAGCCCTTTGCTTGAAAAACAAAAATGACTGTAGGATAGAACACAGTTCCCTTGTGCATTAATAAGTGCTTTATGAAGGATAATATGTGAACCAGTTAGAAAACTCAGTGTATCCTGGGATTATATCATGACCAAGGGAGATTCAGTGCCAGCAACATGCTAACAGGTTTCAAAATGTTTTTCTTCTACAATATGTTTGGAGGATCCTGACAAAAAGCATTTAAAAACTGACCCCAGACATACAGTTTATTTAATTGTGATAAGTATTTGAAAAGATACCTATGCAAAGTTTTGTGTGCTGTAATGTGTAATTGTTGCAGTGAAGCCACTTGGCATTTAAATCAATCACAGCCTTTGCATCTAGAATGGTTTTGCTCTGGACTTTTCTGGACTTTGCCTTCTGGGTGCATAATGCTTTGACCAGCTCTGGCCATCTGAATCAGTTATTTAAAGATGACAAAATATTTGACCATTAAACTGGAACTTTAGTTTAGATGCTTTAGATTCCAGGTCACCTATTACACAAGTATTCAGGGGAGTTCTGCCATTGCAAACCAGGTCTGGTTTCTTCAGACTTAGATGTAAAAGAAAAAAAACTGAATCTGAGACTGATGGTCCCATATTTGTGCTGTATTGTCACACCCAGCCACACGAAGAGGATGTCAGCTGTTTAGATGAAAATTCCACTGTAATGAAGGGGAATTCTCAGATGGCAGAAAGTTGACAGGTTTTTTTCCTGCACCAAACTCTCCTTTAGCATGATGCCTCAGAGGATGAGGAAGCTCTGCTTAGCTCTCCCAGCTGGTAGAGGTTTTTGAAATAGTTGAACAAACTTGCTCTTTTCAGTAGCAAACTGTGTACCTTTCTTAAAGTTCAGGGTTTATTTTTATTTTTTTATTTTTTTATTTTTTTATTTTATTTTTTATAGGAGGTTTATGTTATATTGTCCTTAAAAATGAAACTTGCTGAACCACAGATAAATAAAAGCAAATATTAGGCCAATTATTCCAGTAATGTCTGCAGCCATGGAACTGAAGTAATGTAGCTATTTGTGCAATAAGGACATACATGCTTTGTCTCTTTCCTTTTCAGATTCCTCACTGTGTACCGGGAGCATGGAAGAGTCAGACCTGCTAAAGAGGCAAAGATCACTCTACATAGATCTTGGAGCTCTGGCCGGTTACTTCAATATTGTTAGGGGACCACCAGCCTTAGAATATGACTGACTCAGTAACGTTCTATGTCAGCAGGTCCGAAATGGACCTCTACCTCTTAAAACTTGATTTTAAGACTTGATTTTCAAATTTGTACATAAAAATATCACCCTTGTAAGCTGTAAAATGTGAATAGTGTTGAATTGCACGGATGATTAAGCTAAACCCTTAGGGGCTCTGATAAGCTGATCCCAAGCAACAATATTTGTGCGTCTGCTGGTTGACCAACAAGAAGATGGCAAAAAGAACACTGCTGGGAACGTCTTTATCCAGGATATCTTCCTGTGCTGGTCCTTGCACTTTTATAAAATTTGTAATATATGCTTGCAAATACTGCCATTAAAAAAATGAGCGTATGGGCTGTAAGATTCAGTCTATCTGAGCTGTCCTTAGAGAAAACCTTAAAAAAACAAACCAGTCTCTGATTTAATCATTCAAAGACTGAGTCGGTCTCGTTCTGACTGAGACTTGGCCCATCTCTGGTCATTCTTAATGGAAATCAGGGTCTCCCTTCAGCTGAGCTAATTTCTGTCAGCTATCTCTGGAGCCAAATCATCACTCTGTTACAGATGTGTTTTAACTTTGCATCTTCCCTGGGCTGCAAGAGCTAAGCAGGGTGCTGTTCTCCTTCTCTGTGGGTGGAGGGAACTCTTCACTGGCTGCATGGGTTAACTCTGGGAACAGCACTGCAAGCTTGTGGCTCTGCCTGATTCCTATGTTACAGCTCCTGCAAGGGTATCTTGGGTGGTATTCTGGGGTAGATCAAATGTTATTCCCTATTGGTAACAGTGGGCAGGCTCCAGACTCTTGCTTTTTAATACTTTAAGATTGTGCATGTGTATAATTGCTGCGAGTGCTATGGTTTGGAAAGCGTGTCATCAGTGACAAGCTGTGTTTATGTTCCTATGGAAATGGAATTATATTGTTCTTGCTGTGCCTCATACATTTGAAACATGATGTTTTGGATGATAGTAAAACTATGTAAACTGCATAGTTCTGTACATCCCATGGGATGAGAACGTAAACTTTTATAAAACTCTCTTTGATGCTTAGGATGACTCTTTATAAGCATTTGTGTTAAAATGGCATACTATGTATGTTGTACACTGAATGTTTTCTGAAGCCCAGTCTCTTTTTCATACATCTGTTATTTAATGCTGTTCCTATCTAACATATGATCTTAACAGATTATTTCTAGTTTGATACTGATATGGTCAAATGAATAAACCCAGCTCAGTGCCTTGAGTCATGGTCATTCTGTTCTTTCACCTTTGAAAATAGGGTGGGACTGGGACCATATTTGGGCCAACCTCCCCTACCATGGCCCAGGTACACTACACGCGTAGTTCCATTTGCTGAGGAGTTGGGTGGAGGTCGTTGTTGATGGATTTTGGGCTCTGCTAACAGACGAGTGTTGCTGACAAAATCTCATTCTTGGACCCTAGTGCTCCTTCTGAACTGCGTGGATGTTGCACAGCAGTTGTGTACAACACACAGCACTTCAGTCCTGGTGTTAATTGGTGCAAAAAATCCTACTGGTGGTGTCACGAGAAAATTCTGGCTGATTAAAGTAGGTATTTGTTTCAGCTTTAGAATTAAAAGAACACTTTGACTGATCAAGGTAGTTAAAGTAGGTTGATGATTAAGTAGTTAGAATAGGTATTTGTTTAAACCACAAAGTTAAGAAAAAGACTACAAGATATATTTGTATAAGTACTTAGAGAAGGTATGTACTATGCTCAAGAGAAGAATTAGACAATGGCATGAAGGATAATAGCTGTGGTCAGGCCACCATAAGAATAGGGTGTAACTTTTCTTTATTTGTCTATGTCAAAATCATATGGGGTAATTCAGTGTCTTATATGGTGTGATAGTGGGGAACCAATCAAGGTGAGGGGCAGAGTAAAAGGTGATCATCTTATGCATGCTCATATGATTTCGATTTGTTAAAAATGTGTAAATAGGCTGTGAAAATGAATGGACTTCGGAGCACAATTAGAGGAGCTATCCTCTGTGTTTCCCCAGCGCTGCAATAAAGAAGTGCCTGCTTATCTGCAACTGCGTAGATAAGTTTTCTTGTCGTGATAGCGACCCTGTCAACACTGGGAATAACCTGTCTGCTCCAGTACGTTGTGCAAAATCTCTAGGTGACTGCCTGCTTTGTGGAGAGCTGTGCAGGGGAGCTCTCTTTGCATTTATCGTGTCTGTAGTGATGAGGATTTTTGCGGATCAGACTTCCAGTGTAGCTGGACCTAATGGTTTGGATGCTCACCTTTGCCTTGAGAGACCTGGGTTCAATTTTCTGGTCTTTCTGCTGATGTCTTTTGATCTTTAATAAGATTCGGAGAATTAGTAGGAAGCAGCTTTTCGGGTAACTGGAGGTGGGCTTAAAATCTCTTCCCCAGTTTCCATTCTATAAAATTAAGGTGTGAATCCCCACCAAATAGTGGCTAGATGTTATGCAAATACATATCAAGTGCCTAGATACTTCCAACAATAAGATCCATGTAGGAATTATAGCGTGCTAGGGGGCTTTTACCATTGCTTGAAAAATGTTACACTGATTTTTCTTCTTTCATTTTTTCTTTCTTTAATGCCATCTTCATGTCCCTCACCCAGTTAAATGATTTATCATGGAAATCTGCATTTGAGGACAGGCTTACTAAGATTAGTTCTTAGTATGTAGCTGTTCTGTATCTTCATGCTATGCAGGTAATAAGTGATCAGGTTATCCAAAGTAAAGACAGTTTATGTATTGCCAGACATGTTTGGCTGAGTGAACCAATAGCTCTCTCTGTATAGGCACATCCATGGGTCCAAGCAGTATGAGGCTTCCCAACAAATATCACTTCAGAGAACTGGTGCACAGTCAACAAATACCTCTTTGGGTGTGAGAAACACCAAGCATTGCTACCAGCTCTCTGAGCTTCCCAGTAGCTGAGCACTATTTTTCAGGGGAGCTTCAGGCTGCAGCTAAGCAGGGATTTCTCTCTGGAGTGATACATGATATCACAAGTATATCACATCCCTCAAGCATATCCCCCAGGGGTTGTTGGCTTTGTTGTGTAGGTTCACCTCTTTGTGCCACCGCCTGGGGAACGAGGTCAGGGAAATGAACTGGGTTAGAAATAACCTGAGAGGGGGAAGGTTGTTGTTCTGATCCGGTTGCCTGAGCAGCTGCGTACTTGGAGCAATCAAGGCTGGAGGTGAGGGTTGGGGAATAAAAAAGGATGGTGGGAAAACCCTGCTAGCAAGAGTCCCAGGGGGATGGCTGGTTTGCACTGAGCTGTGGGATTCTGTGAATGGTTTGCCTATGTTTGTGCTGATTTCTGGTGTGTGCTTTCATTTTCTCTTGGGGGAATACTGAGACTGATGCTAACTGCAAAGAAAAAGGTAAGTGTATGGAGAAACCCACTGCTTTCAGTAACTGATGAAACTGGAGAGCCAGAGGTACCTTTTCTCCTCCAGGGCTCAGCAGGTTTTTTGTGCTCAGAGTGAGCCCACCACTATGCTCCTTCTCAGAGCTTCCTGGTGTGAGCAGCCTACAGCAGATCTGGAGATAGTTTGCTGAACTCCCCACTGTTCTTTAAGGAAGATCAGTTTTAAGTCATGCCTTTGAAACAACATAAGGGAGAAGAGAGAAGTCAAAGCCCTTTTTTCTGCATTTTCTTGTAGTTGCTACTTCTTTGTACTCCCTGCCCCTCCTTCTTTCTCCCATGCCTCCTACAAGCGAGGTTTCACTCGCTGCCTGGTTTCTGCAGTTTTGTTAACTCCTGTGAAAAGCAGACCCTTGTTTTCTAATCCTGCAAAAATGTCAGTGGGTAGAAGAGACTTGGAGGAAAAACTGGAAGAAGCAGAAATAAGGGTTTTGTTGCTTGGGGGTTAAATGAGCTTCCCCATTAACCCAAATGGAGGTTTGAGAATAGCTGTAGTAGAAGTACAGAGCAGTTTGCCATGCCCCCGCCACATGCGGTGCTGGTGGGGATGGGGAGAGGAGGCCTTTGGCCGAACACTGGCCCGTTCTTTGGGACCTTGGAGAAACCAATGTGTTGTTTTTCTGGCTAAATGGCAGAAGCAAGAGGCAGCTGAAAAAGAGATATGGGAGGTGTGACCCCTGCAGCAGTTGGGAAGACCAAATGGGTCAGCAAGGAAGGGCTGGGGTGTAGAGAGCTGCAAGGTGCTGTGTGTGGCCAAAACAGGGAAGGTTTGTATGAAACAGCTTCCCTTGGGGCTGTACCAGCTGCTTCCAAGCCTGTGGGCAAGGACTTCACTTCCTGTGCTTTGCTTTGCATCCCGTGCCCAGAGAGGAAGGAATTTGAATGTTCCCAGTAAATGAGCACCAAAGCACTACATGGAACCTGAGCATCCACTTCTATTCCTTACAGGAAAGGCCCAGCAAGGTCCATTTCTAAAACCATCGCCATCCAAAGCTAATCATTTGGGCAATGGGAAAACAAGTCCTTTATGAACAGTATGCGCTGGCCAAAATCAGCAACGCCCAAAAAAATCCAGCCGGACTTTGGGAGTGGCTCATGACAGTCACATGGGCACACTCGTGCTGCTTCAGTCTGGTCACCAGAAAGAGCCCCGCCAACTGATACTGGGGCACAGTGACTCACCGGGGAGGAGGTGTGCTGCCGTGACAGCCTTTGCTCACCTGCGCCCCACACCTCCGCACGGGGCAGCTCCATGTGCACCTAAGTGCTGGGGTGGCATGGCTGCGGGGTTGGGCCAAGTGGTGGTTGGGGAGAGGCTGCTGGAGGGAGGAGATGAGAGCCAGGGATGCTCCGAAGTGAGATGTGCAAGAGAAAACAGCTGTGCACAGCTGAGCCTCATCAAAGCTACATGTGATAGTTCTGTCATGGTCACCCTTAAGTCTGGTCTTAGGTGTGACTCTTGCTCCAGTAGGAGCCAGTTTCAGGGGAAGGATGCTACCACGGTGTCCATGCACAGCACAGCAATGCCCCACTTGCAGGCTATGACACTAAGCATGGCTTTGCCAGTATAAAAAAGTCAAATAAATGGTGGTGATTGAAAAGTTTAAAATCCCTCCTGGTGCTGATAGCAAGTCATGTGCTGAAGTGGCACAGAGCCCGAGAAGGTCAAGGGATGGAAACGAGTGACAGGCAGGGAGGGACTGGTGAGGGGCATGCAGAGTCTGGAGGAGGGAGTGGCAGGAAAGCGTCCATCAAACCTCCAGAGCCAAAGAACCACCGACCAGCCTGGGCCCTGTCAAGGCTGCTGGTGGTGCAAAAGGTTGTCTTCTGTAACTCTCACTTACAGTAAGTGAAGATCAACTTTTCTTCTTCCCCTGCCCACCCCCAAAAAAAATAAAAGAA